TTTGAACACCCTTGATATATGTATCTAAACTGAAACAGCTGGATTAGTGCATCCTAAAGTTAACATAAATAAATTTTTTAATACGATAGTCATTTATGCATTTTTTGCGGGGAGGTCACCTCCTAATAAAGGTTATTACAAAAAAATCTAACTGCTCATTTTAAACCAATACTTTTACTTTTAATACGTTAGTACAAAAATATCAGATTCTTAAAGACTTTTACTCAAGTAATATTCCTAACGGAGACTTTAACTTTTACCGAAGTAATTTTTTTGGTAAGATACTTGTACTTTTACTCAAGTATCACTTTGTGGTACTTTATACAACACTGGCTTTGGGTTTATGAAAGTTGCATTCTGGATACCAACTTTTTGGGAGTTGTTGGAAAATATTTATAAATATATACTGTACATATGTAGTAAAATAAAAAAGGAAACCAAACCCATCAGTGAAGCTCCTGCAGATCATCACACAGAAGCAAAAACGTTATTTAGCTTTAGCTGGTTTCAGGTTTAGGAACTCTCCAACAATTAAAAATTTAGTTTGTTTTTCGTGTTGGTCTGATAAACTTCAGCCTCTAGAATTGAGAGACATATAAATGTTTGTTTACCCAGATTGCACCAGGAAACTAATCATGACCAAAAATGATCCTAATCGTGTCCTTAAATCACCCAATGATTTGTAAATAAAAGAATTGCTTTCATACAAATAAAANTGGTAATATATTTACTGAGAAAAATGTTGACGTGTTCAACACTTATTTTACCCGCTGTACATACAGAATGTTCCACTGGTCTTCCCGGTCTCCTCCCTGTCGTCACACCTGACTCCCTCCTACAGTACAACACTTAAAAGTAGATTGAAATATAGTTAAAAGCGGCAAGGTTGAAATGTTCCTACTTTTAAGTATTTGAGGATATTTGCTTCATAACATGATTTATTTTCAAGTGAAAATGCCAACTAACCACCTTAGATCATGAAAGTAGGTTTGTGGTAGTAATGAATAAAGTGCGGGGTTGCTGCTATAAATCTTCAGACTGAAGTTTTGGATCAAGGTGAACCAGGTAGAATGAACATTCTGGACTTTTGTGATTCGGAAAAGTCTGTAATTCTGACTCACTGTGAGTACTTTCAGGCAAAAACAATCTGGAGCATCACACACACACACACACACACACACACACACACACACACACACACACACACACACACA